CCTGGGAGCTTGCAGAATCACAATGTTTACTTTCAGGCGAGGTGAAGAGCCTGCTCGCTTGTTGTTGAGAGGAGTGGGAGGAGGCTGATGCAGGTTCATGGTTGAGCAGACAAAAGTTCCGTGCTTTGGACGAGGTGGAATGACAGTTGTTTGCCGAGATGAAAATCACGTATCAAACCGGTGCTTATCCCAACGGACTGCCAGGCAGCCATGGCCATAATTGCGAGCAAGGAGGCCAGGAACACAGCTGGGATAAATCCCAGCAACATACACATGTTTCCCAGCATACTGCAGTCAGAGAACCACATATCCGGCCGGCACACTGTCAAAGAAGTGTGTTCCATAGCAAACCTGGAAGCTCCAAACATAGTAAGCGCAACACATATGCGCCACCGGGGGAGCACAACCTATGCTTCTCTTGATGTACCCCAACCTCAGAGAGCACTCGTCTACAAGCACATGGGTCATTCAGGTCAATTATAACATTTACCAGGCCCCTCTTGCTGATTAAGTTATCACAAAACTGGGCAAACGGCTTTTAGAAATGGATGGAGGTTAGTACAGTACAGTGGCGTAGCCAGGAATTTTTCAGTGAGGGGGGGGGGGGCCTGGAACATTTCATGGGGGGGGGGCGTCAAGTAGGGGCGTCAATCGCTTCTCAAAAGTGGGGGGGGGGGACATACCTTGATCACAACTGATGCAAGCGCGAAGCGCGAAGCCCTTACGGCGTGGGGTTCGGGGCCCGCTTAAGGGCCCCGAAAAAAATTTGATTCTAGATGTTCTGTGGTGTGATTTGAAGCAACTTCTCACGACTTTCCTCCATGCTTTAACTAATATTTTCTTGGCAAAAGATAATTAGTTGAACATCGTTTTTGAGGTTGGAGACATTGAATCAGCTATCGGTATTCTGAGCTATTGGCGTGGGGTTCGGGGCCCGCTCAAGGGCCCCGAAAAAAAAATGGATTTTCGATGCTCTGTGGTGTGATCTGAAGCAATTTCTTACCACTTTAACCAATAATTATCTTAGCACAAAAGATAATAATATAAACATAATTTTCGAGGTTTTCTCAGCTAAAGGCATAAGAAAATTTTGCGAACATTGTTTTCGAGGTTGGAGTCATTGAATCAGCTACCAGAATTCTGAGCTATAGGCGTGGGGTTCGGGGCCCGCTTGAGGGCCCCGAAAAATGTTGGATTCTAAATGCTCTGTGGTGCTATCTGAGGCAATTTCTGACCACCGTTAACCAATATTTTCTAAGCAAAAGATACATTGTAGTACATAATAGGGCCCATTGCGTCATGTAGATCAATGATAATTTTTTTAGAAACTCAAAATCTCAGTGGGGGGGGGGGGGGGGGGGGGCGACAAGGTTTCAGGGGGGGGGCGGTCGCCCCCCCCCCCCCAACACGGTGGCTACGCCACTGGTACAGTATACCTACATAAATAGCATATTATGTACAAAATAATGACATGTGTAGCGTCAACTCTCATTTATAATACAAATTAACTCAGCGGAAACAGCCTAAATGTTTGTTTGTGTTTCTCCTTAAGTGGGTGCTTGCCCCGTTCATTGTGTACATTCATTAAACATGTAAATGCAGTCAAAACCAAGGATGTTTTGGTTAATTAACCAGAATTTGTAACAAAAAGATTCGACTGTACATGGCTTGAAATTTACATAATTTTGGCTGAAGTGAAGTATTTCCATGTAAATCAGCAATAACATTACATATTCATGAAATGATTAATAACTTACCGTAGCTTCAAACATGTTTCTATAGATACCGATGTACATGTACTGCAATCTATAGCCTATTGTATGACTTAAATGTTAATATTTACTTCTACCTGTTTTTCATTCATTTCTTTTCCAACAGAATAAGTACCCCACGCCGCAAGTCATCCACCTGTCATCGGTCAAGGTCAGTGAGGAGAGAAAATTATATTGAAGAAACTTAATCTTCAAATATAAAACCGCCATCTTAGAAACAGTGTGCACAGCAGTATATGGAAAACGAATAGGTACACATGTTAGGGGTGTGCAAAATCATATTAAAATTGGAGGATTCAGGACTGTTAGGGCTATACGTGTACATGTCTAAATGTATGGTACATTAGTAAACAAAGAGGTGCACTATATATTTCTGGTAGATATATATCTAACTGGTATAATACAACTAAAATTGGTTTAATTATTAACATCACTTCTATATTAATACCGTACATCAAGGACTCAACTCGATCTGAGAGAGTAAATCCCGGACTTTAAATCAGTTGTCTTACTTCATCGTGCATTTATTAACATTTTTGTTCACAAGACAAGGTAATTTTGTAAGTTAAGTCACTACAAGTTCAACCGCATTCTACTGACCTTTCCAAAATCTAATTGGTGTTGAGTACGTTCTCTTACGGCCCAACCATGTGGGGACAAGTGATTTTACATTAATATTTACTAATTTACAGTTTAAAAAGTCGCTCTGACGGTGTCCCACTCCAATCAATCCAAATGGTTCCTTTCCTTTAATGTATTGGACTGGACTTATAATTCAAAATTTGCAACATATCAAAGGTGTTAGACCACCATTGATAATAGGGGTGCAACTTGGATTAAAATCGCAATTCAAACCAGTGATTTAAATCAACGTGATTTGTATCAGCCAACCCTACCATGTTCATTTAAAAAATATGAGGAAACTTGATCTCATTTCCTTCTGCATATTTTCCTGCTTCTGAAAGTGGAAAGGGCACAGTTTTAAAACAGTGTTCCGAAGACTTCAAACTTCATCACATGAACAAACACAAAGCACATGTTGAGCCCCCACAATTACAGTCATTGGTGCAGTTTAGAAATGCACAAGATAATATAGCAATGAAAATGACAGTACAAACTGCAATTGAAAAGTCGCCAACCGTTGTCCAAAGGCAGATAATCATATCTGATAAAGCCATGGCAAGTGACTATTATATCACTACGACAATAATTCAGGAAGTTATGACAGCATCAGAAAACTAATCAAGAAACAGGAATTAATGTGATTATGAAGGAAATAAGTTCAAACATCATTTTCAGGAAAGTTAAAGGGGTAACAAAGAATTCAAACCATCAATCTAACTATCTACATAATTCTCAAGTAATACAAGAAAAAAAAAAGCTGCTTCTGATGTTCTGTGATTAACAGTGAAATTGATTGTTTTATGGTGGAAGTTGTCTTCAAAATAATGTTAAGGTGTCATGTCTCACATTGAGTGTATGTACATACATATTTGATATTGGTTTTTGTGTGTTTTAGCGTGTTAACATCGACCAATGTAAAAGTAATGAGAACGTAGCAAGTCGATTGTCTGAACTCCAAGTTAACCATTTGAAACACGTCTTATCTCTACGAGAATCAAAATGGGAGTGAGCGTACACCGTACATCTCCTTTTACTCTATGCGTTAACCAATGTATACATTGAAATGTATACAAATGTATATGTCACGCCCCAACTATGGTATCGGTCCCAACTATAGTTGGGACGGTCCCAACTGTAGTTCCATAGTTGGGCTGGCCCAACTATAGTTGGGAGTCATCAAGGGGGCCCAACTATAGTTGGGAGTTATCAAGGGGGCCCATCTATAGTTAGGCCACTCCAATCTTTTTATTTTGCGGTGTCCCAACTGTAGTTTACATTGATGTACAACTATAAAACGTTCCCTACAGCTCCGATACACGTCTGACTTTACTGGGGACCACTGAAATTAGCTATTGATGGGGCTAATCTATAGTTGGACCACCCCAGTCTTTTTATTTTGCGGTCCCAACTATAGTGTACGTTGTTGTACGATTATAAAACATTCCCTACAACTCTTACACACATTTGACTTGACTTGGGACCAATGAAATTATCTATGGGTGGGGCCCATCTATAGTTGGGCCACTGCAATATTTTTATTTTGCGGTCCCAACTATAGTTTACATTGATGTACGACTATAAAACATTCCCTACAGCTCTGTTACATGTCCGACTTTACTTGGGACCGCTTTGACATTAACTATGGGTGGGGCCCTATAGTTGGCCGGCCACGCTGGACAACTCATCCATTTAGGCAGTGCCACGTGGCAGGCCGGCCCTGTATGCAACACACATGCACGACGAATACATGGTGCCAGCATGCACCATGGAACTCCAGTCCTAGCTATAGTTGGGCGAACCCAACTATCGCACTATAGTTGGGACAGTCCCAACTATAGTTGGGCCGACCCAACTGCCGCACTATAGTTGGGACAGTCCCAACTATAGTTGGGACAGTCCCAACTATAGTTGGGACTGATGCGATAGTTGGGGCGTAACAAAAGGTGGCATAGGACTCGTGCGGAACGTACCCGGAACAAACCGGATTTTACCGGAAACACCCGGAACACTGCCGGAACGACCCGGAATCAACTGGAAAATAAGTGCGTTGTAATCAGTATCGGTCACTGCGTCTTCCGGATACCCTAGGACTCACGACTTCCGGATCCCTTTTTTCTAACACTCTTTTAACCTCAGGTTTGACAATGAAAATGGTTGAAATTTTGATTTTTTTTGGGGGGGGGGGCATAATGATTGGATGATGAGGGCGCTTCGTGCACCAGTAATGCGCATACTGGGAAAAATCTATTAAAAAAGTTGTAAATTTTTATTATACATAAACACATAGGGGACGAGATGGTAAACCTACGTGGCTATCATATTATTGGTGCACGATCGCGTATGAGTTGGACTTGCGTGCACCAAGACAAAAACATATGGAAACCTACACTCTAAAAACGGATTGGTTGAATAAACTACCAATCTAATTGGTTGACCCCATATTGGTTGTTCTTAACCAATATATTGGTTAACTAGTGACCAATACATTGGTTGTCCACCAACCAATCACATTGGTTGAGCAATAAACCAATCCTTTAACCAATACATTGGTCTAAAGTAACCAATGTGTTGGTTGCTCAGCAACCAATTACATTGGTTGAGCAATAAACCAATCCTTTAACCAATACATTGGTCAATAGTGACCAATATATTGGTTGCTTGGCAACCAATCACATTGGTTAACCAATAAACCAATCCTTTAACCAATACATTGGTCAATAGCGACCAATATATTGGTTGCTCGGCAACCAATCACATTGGTTGAGCAGTAAACCAATCCTTTAACCAATACATTGGTCAATAGCGACCAATATGTTGGTTGCTCGGCAACCAATCACATTGGTTGAGCAATAAACCAATCCTTTAACCAATATGTTGCTGCTCGGCGGCCACCAATGACATTGGTTGAGTAACGAATCAATGCTTATTGGTCACAAATAGGTTAGTTTTCAAGCAGCCAATCACATTGGGCCAGCAATGAACCAATCTTCAATGGTTGACATTGGAATAATGACCAATAGGAAGCCACCAATCACATTGGTTCAGCAATGAAGCAATCCTGAAGTTTTCATTTCAGACATGAACAATCCTTATCGAGATTAACCAATATATTGGTCAACTTGTGTCCAGTTAGGATGGTTTTCCGGTAACCAATCACATTGGTTGATTCAACCTTATCAACCAATCCATATTGCATGGTTGCTAGCGGTTGGACCAAATCTACTATTTTTGGGTGTGAGATATCCAGTGTTCCAGCTTCTCACAGGAATTCCAAAGAGAAATAGAAAATAAATGTGTAAAAAAATCTTTGTCAATAATAAGAGATTTGATTGCAAAAAAGGAATTGAAATTCCAATCCTGTTTGTCAAAGATGTCAAACATTTAATTTACTGCATTTACAATAGAATGACCCTCAATAAAAGTGGAATGTCCCCTAGCCACGCATGCGATTTCAAACTGCTACTCGATCCTTGCTCCATGCTTCGACAATCCGCTGCTTGCTTGTCTCTCTGTTTCAGGTAAGAAATTGTCTTTTATCTTGGCAAAATTTGCTGGTTTATGTACTTTGATGAAAGCTATAGACTATTTTGTTCAATGTCTTTAAAGACTGTTTTAGGGGGCTTGAAGAAATCTAGTATTTTTTACAGTTTTACTGCCAGTTGTTCACAGCATTGTTTAACTCTTTCACTGTGTGAACATTACGTATGCTATGGTCACTAAAATTGACCATATTCTGGTTTTGGAGTGTGGATTTATTTCTTGATTTTTTTTTGGAATTGTATGTTATTTTGCTTAAATAACTCTAATTTCCGAGAGTGTATTATATGTATTTTTTTTCTAGTGGTTTTGTTTACAAATTATTTGTGTTTAGTTCGAATTCAGTTGTTTTGAGTTCAGATTTTCTGACTTTAGTTTAAGGCCACTACAGATTGTGTAATAGCCGCCCAACCAGGCCTCGTGGCCCAAGCCCTGGGTGGACATTCCAGAGACATATGGTTGGGTAATTAAGTAGCCAGACTAGCCTGGGCTCTGACTGTGGTCAATCTACGTCCCTGTTGTTCTATCCAACGACATGTATAGAGGCAAGTGCTAGGCAACTGGGGAGACTGGATCTTTTGTTGGGGAAGTTGGAATTATACATGTACTTTTCCAGTGTTAAGAAAATCTGATGTCAGTTTTCCTTAACAAGTCTTGGTTTTGTGGGAAGGGTTGGGCCAGAAACAACCCATGTATTTGTTTACTGATACATATGTAATCTTCACTGCATAATTTTTTCTTAGCGTTGTTTGTATATTTCATTATTGTGTATCTCAGATTGATGAGGACTTCCGGCTTCTCTTCAAGGAGCAGGCAATTTCAACGCAAAGTGGGAGATGGTGGCACCAAAGTTTTTGAAACAAAAACAGCTAGACCGTTGCGATGACACAGCTGTGCGCCTTGTAGCAGCTCTAGCTGAATCTTGTTCCTGGTCAAGACGATGATGAAGAGGATGCTGACTACTACCCAGCCCTGGGTTAGTTTTGCCCTCTTTATTCAGCTGACCTTTGTTGGCATAATACATTTTGTGAACATTACAGGGGTGGTTCAATATTTTAAAGAAATGTTGCACTTGCAGTCCACCGTGCACCTACTGTACGTTACCACCCTAGGGTCATTGATAGCCATGGGATAGCCTGGTCAGAGTGGCCATTACACTGGTCGTGTAGGTTGTATACAAGACTGGAACTTCTTTTGTCAGATGGGCCCCTTGAGAGGGACTACAGCAGTATACCTGCTGGACATCGCTTGAAGGAAATTTGGCATTTCTTTTTGGATATGACCACCTTCTAGTGCTGTAATATTAAGCATTTATCTATGCACTCCGCTTTATTATTCCATGATTGCTTCTTTGCAGAGGACATACATGTAGCTGCAACACAGTGCTTGTCAAACTGCCGATGCTACACAAGAACAGTGTCTACTGCGAAGGTGAAAAGTGGAAGCCAAGCATACGGCCACAAGGTATGCATGGTACCATTGGAGATAACTTTGTTTTATGAGGTTTTGGAAAGAATGCATGCGACATGTTAAATGCCGCCAGGTAACATGGACAGGGTAACCAATAACACACATCAATCTGCATGGAACTAAATACTTGCGGTACTTTATCTGAAAGGAAAAGAGAACCTTAATTTAATATAGTTAATTCTTTGCAATTTGGTATTGATTTGTTGCTTCTACATGATATTTTTCGTATGTGAAGCTTGCTGACTGAAAACTTGCACCTACTACATGTATTTCAACAGTTATGAGTTTCAAATTTGATAATATTATGAACCTTGCTTTTCAGTGTGGAACAGACCTTGCCAGCTTTATCCAGAGGAGGGACAAGGATTCGAGGAATGCACTGAGAGGGGAGTAACTCTCAAGACATACCAGTGCACCATTTCTTCAGTTCGTTAATGAGGTGACAGTAGCAAAGTTGTTTTGAGATAAGCATTTATGGTTTTAAAGTTTTTAAATAACATATTTAAGGTTTTCTGAAAATTTGGGAAGTTCATTTTTCTCATTAAAGTGATGCCAAAAAATATATTTTGTGAAAAGTGACGCAATAACATTTGGAAAGCAACTTAACTTTTTTCAATAGCTTGTACTTATCTAGTAAATAATTAAGTTGTTCCCTTTCGAGATGAATCAAAACAATTTATACTAAGTTTTTAAAAATCTACTTTCAAGATTAGGCAATACATGTAGTTAATAAGATTTATAATGAATTACAAGACAATGCAGCAAGTCTATCTGCCAAATTGTCAATTTGAAGAAATCAAATGCTGAACTTAAAGTACAAATCTTAAATATCATCGAACTTCCATACTAAAAGTTAAATTTTACATAATCCAAGGAAGAGGGTGACTAAAATATAATATCCACTTATTAAGCATGTTTCATGCATGGCCAGGTCGTTTGGTTTTTGTTTGTCTTTTGTTTAAAACACAGCACCAATTCAATCTGCAACAGCAGTGATGCTCTAGATGCTTGCATCCGTTTTAAATTCAAAATTGTAATCCTGTTCCTTGATATTTAATTCTCACTCCAATTCAGAGAGCAATGATATTTCATCTTAAATATGAATCAATTCAACTCGTAAACTCTCAACTTTATTATAGTTCAGAATGTGAATCTAGTCGCTGTGTCTATTGTAAATGTACGTACTGATATTCTTTGAAATAAAACCTACATGCAGAGAATAAATCCCAGCAATTTTGTTGGTTTATTAAATGTTTTTGTTTTGTAAACAAATTAAACCACTTGGCAACTTTAACCAATAAGATTGGTAACTCCAAACAATGTAATTGGTCAAACTTAACCAATATTAGTGGTCATTCCAAACAATGTAATTGGTCAAACTTAACCAATAGTATTGGTCATTCCAACCAATACAATTGGTTATCTTTAACTAATAAGATTGGTCATTCCAACCAATATAATTGGTTATCTTTAACAATATGTTGGTTGTTTTGACCAATATGTGATGGTTAGTATTCTAACCAATGTCGGTTGGTTGGAAAATTAACCAATCAAGACTGGTTATGGATTGGTTGAAAAGGTAACCAATCTTGATTGGTTAAATAAACAACCAAGACATGTTGGTTAGTATTCTGACCAGTATAAATTGGTTAAAAAGCAAACCATTTCGGATTGGTTATTTTAACCAATAGATTGGTTGGACACATATCTACCAACCACATTGGTTGAATTTGACCAATATATTGGTTATTTCAACCAATCTGTTTTTAGAGTGCGCGGTTAACTTATTAGTTGTTGTTAACCGCGTAGGCGATGGTTTAAATAAGGTAATAAATTTGTGTGAGGGTCCTCTTTCGAAGCGAATGCGTAGGCGCGGTGCCTAGTCTGCGTGGGATGACGTCAAATAAATTTTTTTTTGGCCTGTGGGTTAGCGTGGTTGGCTTACCATCGCCTTCGGGTCGCCTTCGCGACCCGAAGGCGATGGTAACCTACCTCTCAATCCCCCCCCCCCCCCGTATCCCAATCTACAGTCACCTTCCTACCCACCGCTCGGAGCAAGACAGCATCTTCAAGATCAAACCGACCGATGAAGAGGTAGACGTCATGAGAGCAGCCAAAGCAGTGACAAGAGGGACCGTAGAAAAGCCCAAACCCAAGTATCTGGGCAGAGATCTCGACAAAAAGCCAGACTTACAGCTGCTCATGGAACTCATGGACAAATGGGCACCTAGATCATCGAACGACTTCATCACACGAGTCATGAAGTTCGAATCCCCAGAAGTGAAGGCCAGAGTAGAGAAAGTCTACTTTGCATCGAATTGGAGAGACAGGTTTCAGAAGGCGAGACTCCTGACACAGATGAGCAGTCTGGACAATGACTTGGAGACACTGGAGGTGACATGGGAGGCCAACAACAACGTCGACTCTCCAAAACACGCAGGGATCCGGGGGATATACGTTCATGTGGATGGAATGTATTGACAAACGTCTCATCGTCCTAAACGAACCCTACCTGGATCCCTGCGTGATCGAAAAGGCAAAGATCCATTACTGGACCAAGCCCAGTCTAATGTGGCTTTCGCGAACCCGGGATTCCCGGGTTCGTATTCATGAGCCCCCTACTAAGATAATGGCTATTTAATCAGTTGACGACTATAAATATGTTCGCACATACTAATAAAACAGGTGGGAGTGCAGTGGTTTGTCCTTGATAAACAGTCAGGCTATCCCCAATGTATGTGCGTCTGTTGTCTAGAGCCAGCCTGCCTCCCATCACACTTTGAGTGACGAGTGATGAGCCAGTTAAGTTTGTACTCCCCGTCGCATCGGAGAACAAGTAGCATCATAGACTTGTGTAGTACAACAACAGATGACTCCTCCAGCATCCCATGCGGTCAGCGTTTCCCCGAGACACCACAATCTCCCCCAAGTCACCCTCACTCTTCTCGGACTCAACCGCCAAGACCTGGAAGACGACTACGTCCGAAGCGATGGACGAATCGGAAATGGAGAAGCTATGTGCCGAAGAAGAAGCCGCCAGGTTGGCGTCCGGGTCGTTCCGGTCGAACATGGACACTCTCTCGGAAGCCTGTCAATCCATCACCTCTGCCAAACCTTCAAGCGAACTCTAGAGACATGAACGTACGCGACCACAGCTATGTGTCTATATTGTATGACTACGCGGTTAACTTATCAGTTTTATCGACCGCGTATGCGATGGATTAAATGTAAATAATGTATATAATGTTGTGTTAAAATTCCTACGCGGTTAAATTAATTGTTAAAAGTGTTGCGGAGTGCGTAGGTTTTGTTTTGTAATGCGGAACCACACGAAGAGTCAATGACACTGATGGTTCATTCGCAAAGATGTCACCAATGTGTAAAGACGTATTAATATTAACAGCGTTGATTCAATTAAATTACGTGTTATATGAGACTTGCAGACTTGTATGTTGTCTTTCTCAAGTGCTTGATAAACTTTCTAAACCTACTCCTGAGGGACTTACGCCGCCATAAACAAAAATGGATGCCCAAGAAACGCCGTGCCCGGAATGTTGGGACATAGGGTGGGTCCTGATCTTACTAACGGGTTTCCTGATCTTTGCAATCACTTCCATCTACTTATTTCAGTCGGTGCTAGACACTCGTTGCTTACAGACGTATTTGGGCACCCTTAATCATCTGGTAGCATTAGAAGATGCCTCCCGTGAAATATCCGAGCAATTACGGAGACTCGACGAAAGATCAACTCATCCGCCTCAACTTCGAACCCCAAAACCAACCGGAGAGCGTACAACTCGAGCTTGCAGAAGCGCTACTCGACAGCCCTCTTCCCATTAAAGTAGACTATGTAAATGACTGCAGTTGGTCCAATTTACTCCACCGCCTCGAATGGGTGAGGTTATTGACTCAAGAATGGCAAGATCAACACAAAGAAGCAGAGAGGAGAGTGGGTTTTCCATGGGCCAACCCCTACGAAAGATTGGAGGACAATCCAGAAAGAGCAGAACATGTGGGACCCCTATTTCGCTCCGCCACAGAATGCAGCAAGCCCTTTATTCCCTTTGCTGCCCACCTGTGGGGATACAACTATTGCGGACCGGGTACACACGATATGACGAGAAAACCCATCAATCATCTAGATCGTCTATGCCAGATCCACGACCACATGTACCACGACGGTGACATTGGTACCGACCTCGCAGACAAAGTATTTCTTTGGAACCTGTACAGTACCCCTGGCATCTCTGCCCAAGCAATGAAAATACTCTTCCAATCCAAGATATGGTTTGACGAGGTATTCCCCGGATTAAGTAAAAGGGAGGCGCCATGGTGGCAAGTGTGCTTGCAGCAAGGGCTAGACACAGTTGGCAGGGTTTGGCCACTACAAGAGGCAACGGAAGATGCAATGGACACTTGCTTGTTACAAGTATCAATGAAACTTTATTCACTATGCACGTGGAAGCAGTGTCCTTACTTTATTCACTATTCACGTGTGTATCTGTCGTTATACAACAAGTTTAAGCCGACATCAGTAAAAAGGAGTGAGCAAAAGTCGGCAAAAAGCAAGCTTAGATCCTCTTCCCGCACAGCCAATGAAACCAACAAAGATGGCGGCGGTTCGCCGGCCATTGCGCCAAAACCAAGACCTGATGACGCCATCGGCAGCACCCCAACCGGCGAGGCCACTGTACTGTATGATGAACTAAAATCAACACTTACCAAGGCAATTCTCTCGGACCCATCTATCCTTAAGCTCATCGCTGCAGCTGTCGCAGATGCCCTGGTGGCGAAATTGGTAGACAACCCGGATCACATTAGCGCGGTTGTCGAGAAGCTCGGGCAGTCAGACATCCTCATCTCCAACGTAGCCAAAGCACTTGGATCTGATGTCAAACAAGACATATACCAGTCACTGGAGATGGTCACGGATCGCCAGGACAACTCTATCTCAGCCCTGGAGCGGAAATGCTCTTCCTACCAAGAAGTCAACAGCAAGCTACTGGTTAAAATTGACGACCTGGAGCAGTACAGCCGGCGAAACTGCTTTATCCTGCACGGGCTTGATGAAGCAAACGACCCCCATGGGGGCCGTATCATAAGTCCGACGTCTCATAGGTCCGACGCCTCATAAGTCCGACATTTCGGACTTATGAGGCGTCGGACTTATGAGGCATAACATTTATTTATTCCGCCTCATAGGTCCGACGCCTCATAAGTCCGACGCCTCATAAGTCCGACAACGGAAAAACGAGACGTTTAACTTGTCGGACTTACGAGGCGTCGGACCTATGAGGCGTCGGACCTATGAGGCGTCGGACTTATGAGGCGTCGGACCTATGAGGCGTCGGACTTATGGGCCTTTATTTGGTTAGGGGATGCGATTTTGTCGGACTTATGAGGCGTCGGACCTATGATTCGTCGGACTTATGAGCGGACCCCCCCCCCCCATGGTACCGAACTTAGTGTAATCTCTACCCTCAACAGAGTCATACCAAAGGCTTTCTTGGCCATAAAAGTCAAAACCCTTACCTGTGGAGTTCCTCCAGGTTCTATTTTGGGACCTCTACATTTTCTTATTTACATAAATGATTTCACTAGGTCTTCTAATCTCTTGTCATACATTTTTTTTGCTGATGACTCAAATTTATTTTACAGTTATAAAGATATTGATGTTCTAATTAATACTGTAAATTCCGAATTAATTAAAGTATCGGACTGGATCAAATCCAACAAATTATCTCTAAACCTAAAGAAAACGAAGTGTATGTTATTTAGCTGCACTCTCCAAAAATTACCACGAATTATTAATATTGAAAATGCAATGATTTCTGAAACTACTAGCACTAAATTTGTAGGTATACTCGTTGACAATAAGTTGTCATGGAAATATCACATTGACCATTTATGCAAAATTGTTTCAAGAAATATAGGTGTTATTAACAGAATAAAAACATGTATTCCCCATCATATTTTGTTTACCTTGTATAATACTCTAGTTTTATCCTACTTAAACTATGGAATTCTAGCCTGGGG